GAAAAAAGGAATTCATAATGGTCTTTTTAAAAAAAAAAAGATTTTATTTATTTAGAGAGAGGGGTCGCTCACAAGTGCGAGTGGGGGTAGGGGGCATGGGGGAGAGAATCCCAAGCATAGAGCCCAATGCAGGGCTCGATACCAAGATCATACCCAACTGACTGAGCCACCTAGGTGCCGCCCCTTTTAATATTTATTTATATAAGTAATCTCTACACCAAACGTGGGGCTCAAACTCAAAACCCAAAGATCAAGAGTCACGTGCTTTTCCAGCTGAGCCAGCCAGGCGCCCCTATTTGTTTCTTTTTAAAAATCAAACTTAGGGGGGTGCCTGGTGGCTAGGTCCTTAAGTGTCTGCCTTCGGCTCAGGTCCTGGGACTGATTCCCAGGTCCTGGACTGATTCCCACATCGGGCTCCCTGCTCAGTGGGAGCCTGCTTCTCCCTCTCCCTGCCACTCCCCTGCCTGTGCGCGCGCGCTCTCTCTCTCTCTCTCTCTGACAAATAAAATCTTTTTTAAAAAATCAAATTTAGGGATACCTGGGCAGCTCAGGCAGTTAAGCATCTGCCTTTGGCTCAGGTCATGAACTTGGGGTCCTGGGATTGAGCCCAGCTGTGGGGCTCCCTGCTCAGCAGGGAGTCTGCTTCTCCCTCTTTCTCTGCCCCTCCCCCTCACTTGTGCTTGCTCACTTGCTCTCTCTCTCAAATACAATCTTTAAAAATAAATAAATGGGGCACCTGGGTGGCTCTGTCGGTTAAGCGGCTGCCTTCAGCTCAGGTCATGATCCCAGGGTCCTGGGATCGAGCCCCTCATCGGGCTCCCTGTTCAGCGGGAAGCCTGCTTCTCCCTCTCCCACTCCCCCTGCTTGTGTTCCCTCTCTCACTGTCTCTCTCTTTCTCAAATAAATCAATTAAAAAAAAAAAACTTTAAAAAATAAATAAATAAAAATCTAAATCACAGTTTTCTTAAAAAAATAGTTTTCTAGTTATTTACACTTTTGAACCTGTATTTTGGTGCATTTTATTTATTCTGCCGGAAACATGATTAATAGGCAAGAAACCACCTATTTTACATAAATGGCACCAAACTATACCTATCATTCTAATCTTGGATGGTATTCCCAAGTTGTTACACACAAAGATTTAACTTTTTCCTTTTCACTGTCCATAATAAATATTAATAATTGTAGATACACTATTTCTATTTAGCTCATTCCCTAATCGATGAACTTTTTTTAGGGTATTTTCAGTTTTTCATTTGTATACTCTTATAATCCATATCCTTCTACTTGCCTTTGCACACAAGGCTAGTGTGTCTCTAAAGTAGATATCAAGAATTGCTAGCCTTCTGATGATTCTGCTGCTACCTTCCAAAAACTGTCGTGCTATTTATTTAGTATTACCCTTTTCCCCTCTACTGCAACACTTGATTCTTAGCACATTTTAATGTTTTTAGTTTGCATGTTCTGTGATTACTGTTGGGATCAAGCATTTTTGTACAGGTCTATGAGTTATTTGCCTTTTTTTTTTTTTTTTTCCTATTTTTTCCAGAGCTCAGTGGATGTTTTATATTTGGTTCTTTAATCGTAGCATACTTTTGTGAGTGATGTCAGCTAGACATCTAACCTTATTACTTTTTTGAAGTAAATAGCCAACGTAAAAAGAAAGATAAAAGAATAGATTTGTAGCTCTTGCCATCATCTACTTAATAACCCAAGCAAATCAATTGAAAACTATTAGTACTATTAAGAGAGTTCTGCAGAGATGATGGGAATCAAAGTCAACTTTTAATGGATTTAAAAGCTTTTCTTTAAAACACCAGCAATAATCTTTCAGAAAGTATAATAGGAAAACAGACGGTATTCATAATAAAAACTATAAAGTACCTAAAAGTCCACCTAACAGGAAATGTGTAGTGATAAAATGGGACTTGCCTGACTATTTAGCAAACATGTTTATCACACTATTATAATGAAAATAGTGGATATATTGGTCAGGTATAAACAGATAAGTGAGACAGAATATAGTCTAGAAATTCCTATAATAATATAGTAAACGATAATGGTAGCATTTCAAATCCAAAGAATGGGCTGTTCAAAGATCTTTTTAGTGTTCAGTGATACTAGATTCAAAACTGATTTCAGTGTAGGTGCTAGGCTCACCTAGAATTTCTATTTGTTACTAAAAAATAAAAAACTATAAAAGAGTAACATTGATATATAACACCATAAAAGCATAATAACATCCGAGGACTTTTTGTTCATGCCTTATCTTTTTTTTTTTTTTTTTTTTTTAAGATTTTATTTATTTATTTGAGACAGAGAGAATGAGAGACAGAAGGGTCAGAGGGAGAAGCAGACTCCCTGCTGAGCAGGGAGCCCGATGCGGGACTCGATCCTGGGACTCCAGGATCATGACCTGAGCCGAAGGCAGTCGCTTAACCAACTGAGCCACCCAGGCGCCCCCCATGCCTTATCTTTTGCCTAGAACTATTTTCAACCTACTGCTCAACCACTGCTTTTACCTACCTAATTCATAATTTCAGACCTCAGCTCAGTTATGGAATAGATATTCAAATGTTTACACTCAGATTTTTCTAACCCCAAACTTAGACTTCTATAGGTAAGTTGTGGGTTACATCCAAATTTAATCATATTTTAAATACTTTGAACTTCTACATAAGAATTAGGATTACTTTTAACTGTTAATGTTAATTTACTGTTTTCTTGTTAGTGATGCGGAGTCCCCCCCCCCACCTTTGTTGTATAAATGGTGAGATTGATTTATTTTATTAGGAAGTCTACAGAGAAGCTGTTGCTACCCAAAGGGCTTCTAAGAAGTGACTTTGCATGGTTGCTTAGCTACTGCTAGTTAAATAAACATCTTAGGGGCGCCTGGGTGTCTCAGTCATTAAGCGTCTGCCTTCAGCTCAGGTCATGGTCCCAGGGTCCTGGGATCGAGCCCCACATCAGGCTCTCTGCTCAGTGGGAAGCCTGCTTCTCCCTCTCCCTCTCCCCCTGTTTGTGTTCCCTCTCTCACTGTGTCTCTCTCTGTCAAATAAATAAATAAAATCTTTTAAAAAATTAAAAAATAAATAAACATCCTAGATGTTTTGCTCTGAAGATTTTCCAGATAGAAGGTTGGCAATCGAAGTTCTTTTTCTAGCTTTTCTAGCATTTTTTTCCTTTTTCGTTTTTTTTAGAAGAATGATTACAAAGCAGTGAACAGAATAAAATAGTAATGACCAATGAATTTTTATCTACTATTATTATCATAAAGTGACACAGTACTGTTTAAATTTTAGATAAGTATCTAAGGATTTATATCAGCAGCTCTTAGCAGTAGTAGAAAAGTTTTCATGGGAGCCAGAATTGTTTACCATGGTAGTATGGAATAATGGAAAGGGGTGTTTGCTCTAAAGCAAACCTACCTAGCTTTAAATCCTCATGCTGCCACTTAAGCTGTAGAAGCTTTAAGCAAGTAGCAACCTCTTAGCATTTCTTCACCTCTAAAATGGGAATAGTAATTCCCTTGTGAAAGTGTTGTTTTAAAATAATGTATGTAAGTCATGTAGTGCAATGTTTACCACCTATTAGCCCCTCAAATTGTTGGTAATGATGTGACATTGCCCCTGTTGCCCTTACCTCATATTAGATATGGTACTTTAAATATTTCCCTCCATGCTTTGTATTCTAGGCAAATAGATAGATTTGATTCCTGCTCTCACTCTGGCATTACCTGGAACAAATTCAACCCCTCTATATATCAGTGATGCTACCTTTTTTTAAGACGAGGGATTAAGTTTCTTCCCTGCTCTAAAATGTTATGTTTCATTTTCTTCGCCCTTCCCTTAAGGCTAGAATAAAATACTGGCTAGGAATTTCTTAGAGAACAGGATGTTTTCCTGGGGTTTTTTTTTGTTGTTGTTGTTGTTTTTTAAGATTTTATTTATTCATTTGACAGAGAGAGAGACAGCGAGAGAGGGAACACAAGCAAGGGGAGTGTGAGAGGGGAGGCAGGCTTCCTGCTGAGCAGGGAGCCCGATGTGGGGCTTGACCCCAGGACCCTGGGATCATGACCTGAGCTGAAGGCAGCCGCTTTAACAACTGAGCCACCCAGGCGCCCCGGATGTTTTCCTGTTAATAACATAAATATATTGGTATAAATCCTCCTTGAAGAAATGATATGAAAATTAAAATTACTCAACATGAGCCCTTTTCCTTTAGCATTCATCATATTTTGTAAAATTTAAGATTTCTCGGGGTATCTGGGTGGTTCATTAGGTTAAGCATCTGCCTTCGGCTCAGGTCATGATCTCAGGGTCCTGGTATCAAGCCCCACATCAGGCTCTCTGCTTGGTGGAGAGTCTCCTACTTCCTCTCCCTCTGATCCTCCTCCCTGCTTGTGCTCTCTCTCTGTCTCAAATAATAAAATCTTAAAAAAAAAAATTAAGATTTCTCACAATATTGAAGATTTTCTACGATGTCACTGTTAAATTTCAGAACTTTGGTAGCCTTTTGCAGCAAGGATGGCACAGTAAAATGCATTATAAATGGCACACTTACATAAGACGAGGGCAAGCCCTTTTATGAAGGCTACTTCATGTCCTTGGATTTATCATATTGTCATTCATTCAGCAAATACGTGCTTTAGTATCCACTAGTATCTAGTAGATACAGGTATACAAAGAAATGATTAAGGCCAACAATCTCCTTCAAGTTTAATTCAACTCGTAAGGAACAACATCTGTATTTTTAAACTATTCTCAGAATAGTTACCTTAAAGAGGGGAAGAAACCCAATCTGTATTTAGACTACTATTCTGAAGGTGATCATCTTTTCTCAGATGTTCAGAAACTTGATACTGTTCCATATTATGGTGGCTGGGAAACTCTTGCATAGCAGAGAGTCCTTAAATTTGTAATACAAAGGACATTAAATAGTAATGGGTGAAAACATATTATTCCAGCATTAATCTTAAAATAGCATTGTTATATTTTCAGGAAACTACTAAAGTTCCTGTGGAAGTAAAGTAGAATTTCATAAGAACATAATGGGTAAGTTATATAAAAGTAATTTTATATTTCAACTAGTAGAAGCTGGTTTTTCTTCTCAAAGATAGGCCTTTGACATTGGTGAATGCACATAAAAAAAAATGATCAGAGTAGACTAAAATTAGTTGTTTAAATCCACAGCATCTGTTTATTACTACGGCACACCTCAGAGATATTGTGGGTTTGGTTCCAGACCACAGCAATAGAGCAAGTCAAATGAATTTTTTGGTTTCCTCATGCTTATAAAAGTTGTGTTTATACTGTACTGTAGTCTATTAAGTATATATAATACCTTAACTTAAAAATCATTTATTGCTTAAAAAAAAATGCTAATAATCTGAGCTTTTGGTGAGTCATCACTGATCACAGCTCACCATAACAAAAACAGTAATAATGAAAAAGTTTGAAATATTATGAGAATTACAAAAATGTGACACAGATACACAAAGTGAGCAAATGCTGTTGAAAAATGGCACCAACAGACTTGCTCAGTGCAGGGTTGCCACATACCTTCAATTTGTAAAAACTGCAAAGCACAATAAGACAAGGTATGCCTGTATGTATTTTTGAAAGGTAGATAAGTAATGTTTTTGTGCCAAGTATAATTTGTGATTGCTAGTAAGTAATAGCAACTGAAGAAATTAGAAACTTTCCCAAAAAACATATAAAGTGCTTTAATTCGCAAAAAAAAATGCAAGAATTATAAATTTAATTGACAATTGTTTTTATTTTCTGAGATTGGCAAAACCTGCTAAATATTTATATGCTTGAGTAGTCTATAATTTACAAGTTACTTACATCCTTATAAGTCCCCCAGCTTTTTATTATGAAAAATTGCAAGAATGATACACTATGTAGCCTTCAGTGATTGTTAATGTTTTGCCACATTTGCTTTCCTTGTGTTTATTGGTGTATGGGTATTGTGTATATACCCATATACACACACATGGGTATTTTTCTGTACATTTATTTAGTTGTATAGTATCACCTCACATCTAAATACTGGAGTAGGCATCTCCTAACTTGGTCCATATTCAGAATTTCCCAGTTGTTTCAGTAGTGTTCTTTATTGCAGGTATGTTATAGACATACCTTGTTTTATTGTGCTTCATATTGCACTTCACAGATATTGCGTGGGGTTTTTGTGTTGGTTTTTTTTTTTTTTTTTTTTAACAAATTGAAGGTTTGTGGCCACCCTGTGTGGACCAAGTCTATTGGTGCCATTTTTCCAACTGCAGTTGCTCATTTCATGTCTCTCACATTTTGGTAATTCTCACAATATTTCACTTTTCCATTATTATTATTATATTTGTTATGGTGTCAGTGATCTTTGATGTTACTATTGTAATTGTTGTGAGATGCCATGAACCATGCCCACATAAGACAGGGAACTTAATCGATACATGTTGTGTGTGTTCTGACTGCCGCACCGACCAGCTCTTCCCTCATCTCTCTCTCTCTCCTCAGACCTCCCTATTCCCTGAGACACAAAAATTGAAATTAGGCTAATTAATAACCCTACAATGACCTCCAAGTATTCAAGTGAAAGGAAGAATTGTACCTCTCTCACTTTCAATCAACAGCAAGAGATGATTAAGCTTAGTGAGGAAAGCATGTCAAAAGCTGAGACAGGCCGAAAGCTATGCCTCTTGTGCCAAACAGTTAGCCAAGATGTGAATGCAAAAGAAAAGTTCTTCAAGGAAATTAAAAGCGCTACTCCGGTGAACACGAATAATAAAAAAGTGAAACAGACTTACTGCTGATGGAGAAAGTCTGAGTGGTCTGGATAGAAGATCAAACCAGCCATACCAGTCCCTTAAACCAAAGCCTAATCCAGAGCGATGCCCTGACTCTTCAATTCTGTGAAGGCTGAGAGAGGTGAGGAAGCTGTAAAAGAAAAGTCTGAAGCTAGCAGAAGCTGGCTCATGAGGTTAAAGGTAAAGCAGCAAGTGCTGATGTAGAATCTACAGCAAGTTACCCAGACCCAGCTAAGGTAATTAATGAGGGTGGCTATACTAAACAGATCTTCAGTGGAGATGGAACACCTCATATTGGAAAAAGATGCCATCTTTGATAGCTAGAGAGGAGAAATCGGCACCTGGCTTCAAAGCTTCAAAGGACAGGCTAACTCTTGTTAGGAACTAACGCAGCTGGTTATTTTCAGTAGAAGCCAGTGCTCACTGAACATTGCAAAAATCCTAGAGCCTTTCAGAATTATGCTAAATCTACTCTGCTTGTGCTTTATAAATGGAACAAAGCCTGGATGACAGCACATCTATTTACAACATGGTTTACTGAATATTTTAAGCCTACTCTTGTTACTTTAGAAGTACATCCCGTAAGGTACAGCTGCCACAGATAGTGATTCTTCGGATGCATCTGGTTAAAGTAAACTGAAAACCTGTAATTCACCATTCTAGACGCCATTAAGAATACATGTGGTTCATGGGAGGAGGTCAAAATATCAACATTAATAGCAGTGTGGAAGAAGTTGATTCCAGCCCTCATGGATGACTTTAAGAGGTTCAGGACTTCAGTGGAGGAAGTAAATGTAGATGTGGTAGAAATAGCAACAATTAGAATTGGGAGTGGAGCCTCAAGATGTGACCGAATTGCTACAATTTCATGATAAAACTTGAATAGATGAGTTGAATCTTATGGATGAACAACGAAAGTGGTTTCTTGAGATGGAATCCACTCCTGATAAAGATGCTGTGATAATTGTTGAAATGACAACAAAGGAATTAGAATATTATGTAAATTTAGTTGATAAAGCGGTGGCAGGGATTGAGAAGATTGACTCCAGTTTTGAAGGAAGTTCTGCTGCGGATCAGATGCTGTCAAACAGAATCACGTGCTACAGAGAAATCATTCCTAAAAGGAAGAGTCAGTCAATGCAGCAAACTTCACTGTTGTCTTATTTTAAGAAAATGCCACAGCCACCTCAGCCTTCAGCAACCACAGCCCTGATCAGTCAGTGACCCATCAGCATCAAGGCAAGACCCTCCACCAGCAAAAAGATTACTACTCACTGAAAACTCAGACAGTGGTTAGCATTTTTTAGCAATAAAGTATTTTTAATTAAGGTATAAACATTTTTCTTTTAGACATAATGATACTGCACACTAAATAAACTATAATATGCTGTAAACAAAACTTATATTCACTGGGAAACCAGAAAGTGGATTTGACTCACTTTTGCATTATTTGCTTTATTGTGGTGGTCTAGAACTGAACCCACAGTATCTCCAAGGTATCCCTGTGTTTTATATCCAGGATCCAATCAAGGATCACTTACTGCATTAATCTGTCTCTTTAGTCTCCTTTAAATAGTTCCCTTCTTTTGGGGGCATGAGGAGTGAAGTCTTTCATGACACTTTAAAATTTAGATTTATCTGAGTGTTTACTCCTGATTAGATTCAGATTAGACATTTTGGGCAGCAATAGTACATAAGTGATTTTTATATTTATTAATCTTATTTGAGGGATTTTTAAATTATTAAATGAATAAACCAATGGATATTTGTAGCTTGAATACTTCAGCTTTATCCTCTGTACTTCTTTTTGTAGGGCTTCCTAAGTTTTTAGAATAAGCCTTAAGACACTTTCTTTCAGATATTGGTAACCATAAAAATTAAAGTTTTGTCAGTACAACACTGTGAAAGTTATAGGTGTTAGAAAGCTCTTAAAGGGCTATACAAAAAATGTATACTCCCAAGAAGGTTACATGGAGCTAGCTACTGTCGCTGAAGCCGGCGCGGTGGCAGTGAGGGGGCTGGCCGTAGGGGCACAGCTGCCCTGTCTCCTTACCTCTGCTTTGGATTTCAAAGGCTGCTGTTTGTCTGTATTCATCACTTCAGTCATGTAATAATTTAAACTCAGAAATAAAATGTTTTGATCATTATTTTTATGGATTAAGAGTAAAGATACTAAGTAAAAAGGAGCCCTAACTTTTAGAAGTAGGAGCTTGTCAGAGAAGGTGAAATCATATGACATACATTCTTTCGTAAATGCACACAGTGCATCTTATGTTAACATTGAGTATTTCCAATGATTTAATTTAAAGTTTTACTATTTGATCATTTTGTTTGAGCTTTCAAAGTTGAATGTGTTGCTGTGTTCACAAAAAAAATTGTTAATACTTCCATGAAAAATACTGGTAAATTTACATCTAAAGTAACAGCCTTGAACGTAGTTTATTCTGACATTGGAAAATGTTCAGAGAATAATAAAACAAGGAGTTAAAAAACCTTAAAATCTTGTAGATGTGGGTGCCTGGGTGGCTCAGTTGGTTGGGCGGCTGCCTTCGGCTCGGGTCATGATCCTGGAGTCCCGGGATCGAGTCCCGCATCGGGCTCCCTGCTCGGCAGGGAGTCTGCTTCTCCCTCTGACCCTCCTCCCTCTCATGCTCTCTGTCTCTCATTCTCTCTCTCTCAAATAAATAAATAAAATCTTTAAAAAAAAAAAAATCTTGTAGATGTTACCATACAGAAATATTTCTGTTCTGAGTTACTCAAATATTAACCTTGGTAAATTGGCTTATTTTTAATTTTGTGATTCAAAAATCATTTTACTACTTACTGTACTTTAGATGGAGAAGAGAAAACCTATGGTGGCTGTGAAGGCCCTGATGCCATGTATGTCAAATTGATATCTTCGGATGGTCATGAATTTATTGTAAAAAGAGAACATGCACTAACATCTGGAACAATAAAAGCAATGTTGAGTGGCCCAGGTAGGTACATGTCTTTATTTTCTGTTAATAAATCTTCACTTTTAATGTGTTTTTACTTGAATTAAGTGACTCATAACATTAAATGAGACAGTAACTGTTCTAACATTATTGCATGGTTATGTTGCATTGGAAAAATTGATTTTTGCCAGTTCCTGTTTTCAGTTATTTACCCTAATAGGAAGAGTCTTTTCCCTACATTAGTTACCATGGTTAATTTCTTCACCACAAAAGGACTCTGATGGTGATTTGTGCTCCTAATTATATATAAAGTTGATTTTTAGAAGTTACCACTTCCCAAACATCTATTTTTTTTTTTTTTTAAGATTTTATTTATTTGACAGAGACACAGCAAGAGAGGGAACACAAGCAGGGGAAATGGGAGAGGGAGAAGCAGGACCCTGGGATCATGACCCGAGCCGAAGGCAGACGCTTAATGACTGAGCCACCCAGGCACCCCTCCCAGACATCTATTCTTAACTCTTTCTTTCTCTTTTTTGTTCCTTTGAGATAATTTTTGTTTTTTTACCTCAAGGAAATTTTTTTTTGAGGATTGGAATTTTCGAGAGCATACAATAATACCAATTTTAACTTTTGGAGGAAACACCAAACTGCACAGTAGCTGCACCATCTTACAATCCTACCACCACTGTATGAGTATTCTAGTTTCTCCACATTTTCAGACATTTCTGTTCCCGTTTTTTTGATTCTAGCCATCCTAATGGGTGTGAAGTGGTTTCTCATTGTATTTTGTTTCAAGATTTATTTATTTAAGAGAGAGAGTAACAAGCAGGGAAAGGTACAGAGGGAGAGGAAGAGAATCTCAAGCAGACTCCCCGCTGAGCACGGAGCCCAATGCAGGACTCAGTCTCAAGACCCTGAGATCAGGATCTGAGTGGAAACCAAGAGTCAGACGCCTAACTGACTGAACTACTCAGGCACTTTCCATTGTATTTTGGATTAGCATTTCTCTAAGGACTGATGCTAAACATCACTTCTGGTGTTTGCTATACATTTATATATCATCTTTGGAGAAATGTCTATTCAAATCTGTTGCATATTTTTCAATTCAGTTGTGTGTCTTTTTGTTACTGAGTTGTAAGAGTTCTTTATAAATTCTGGACGCTAACCCCTTATCAGACATACCATTTGCAAATATTTTCTTATAACAGTTCTATGATTTTATTTATTAATTTTTAAAGACTTTACCTATTTAGGGGCGCCTGGGTGGCTCAGATGGTTGAGCGTCTGCCTTCGGCTCAGGTCATGATCTCAGGGTCCTGGGATCGAGTCCCGCATCAGGCTCCCTGCTCCTGGGGAGCCTGCTTCTCCCTCTGCCTCTCTCTCTCTCTCTCTGTCTCTCATGAATAAATAAATAAAATCTTTAAAAAAAAAAAAAAAAAGACTTTACCTATTTGACAGAGCGAGCACAAGCAGGGGGAACAGAAGAGGGAGAGGGAGAAGCAGGCTCCCTGCTGAGCAGGGAACCCAATGCGGGGCTCGATCCCAGGACCTTGGGACTATGACCTGAGCTGAAGGCAGACGCTTAACTGACTCAGCCACCCACGCATCCCCAGTTTTATGGTTTTAGCTTTTACATTTAGGTCTTTGATTTTAAGTGAATTTTTGTATATGGTGTGAGGTAATGATTCAGCCTCATTCTTTCTAATGTGGGCTTTCTAGTACCATTTGTTAAAGAGACTGTTCTTTCCCCCATTTAATGGTCTTGACACCTTGTTGAAAATAAGTTAACCATAGCTATGTGGGTTTATTTATGGGTTCTCAACTCTCTTCCATTGAGAGTCCTTTTTTTTTTTAATTTTTTTTCTTTTAAGTAATCTCTACACCCAATGTGAGGCTTGAACTCAAAACCCTGACATCAGGAGTTGTATGCTCTACCCACTGAGCCAACCAGGTGCCCCATTCCATTGATCTATTCTTATAATACCACAATATTTTAATTACTATTGCTTTGTAGTAAGCTATGAAATAGGGAATTACGAAGCCTCTAACTTTGTTTTACTTTTTCAAGGATTGTTTTGGCTATTTGAGGTCCCTTGTTTGTTTTGGGGTTTTTTTAGTTTTGATTTAAATTCCAGTTAGTTAATATACAGCATATTAGTTTCAGGTGTACAATATAGTGGTTCAGCACTTCCATGCAACACCCAGTGTTCGTTACAAGTGCGGTCCTTAGTTCCCATCACCTATTTAATCCATCCCCACACCTACCTCCCTTCCAGTAACCATCAGTTTGTTCTGTGTAGTTAAGAATCTGTTTCTTGCTTTGCCTCTCTACTTTTTTCCCCCTTTGCTCATTTGTTTTCTTTCTTAAATTCCGCACATGATTGAAACTGTATGGTATTTGTCTTTCTCTGACTGACTTATTTTGCTTAGCATAGTATCTGGCTTCATCCATGTTGTTGCAAATGGCAGGATTTAATTCTTTTTTATGGCTGAGTAATAGTCCTCTGTGTGTGTGTGTGTGCGCGCGTGCGTGTGTGTGTGCGCGCGCGTGTGTGTGTGTGTGTGTCTACACACCACATACCACATCTTTATCCATTCATCAGTTGATGGATACTTGGGCTATTTCCATAATTTGGCTATGGTAGATAATGCTGCTATAAATATCGGGGTGCATATATCCCTTTGAATTAGTATTTTTGTATTCTTTAGGTAAAAACATAGTAGTGCAATTGCTGGATCATAAGGTAGTTCTATTTTTAACTTTTTGAGGAAACTCCATACTGTTTTCCAGAGTGGCTGCACCAGTTTGCATTCCCACCAACAGTGCAAGAGGATTCCCCTTTCTCCACATCCTTGCGAACACCTGTTGTTTCTTGTGTTGTTGACTTTAGCCATTCTTTCTTTTTTTTTTAAGATTTCATTTATTTATTAGAGAGAGAGAGAGCACAAGTAGGCAGAGCGGCAGGCAGAGGGAGAGGGAGAAGCACGATCCCCGCTGAGCAGAGAGCCCGATATGGGGCTTGATCCCAGGACCTGGGATCATGACCTGAGCTGAAGGCAGATGCTTAACTGAGCCACCCAGGCACCCCCGACTTTAGCCATTCTGACAGATGTGAGATGATACCTCATTGTAGTTTTGATTTGCATTTCCCTTATGATGAGGGATGTTGAGTATCTTTTCATGTGTCTTTTGGCCATCTGTATGTCTTCTTTGGAAAAATGTCTATTCATGTCTTCTGCCCATTTTTTAATTAGATTATTCAGTTTTTCGGGTGTTAAGTTTTATAAGTTCTTTATATATTTTGGATACTCGCCCTTTATCGGGTATGTCATTTACAAATATCTTCTCCTATTCCATAGGTTGCCTTTTAGTTTTGTTGATTGTTTCTATTTGAGGTCACTTGTAATTCCTTTTCTATATTTTTTACTATGGAGATTTTAAAACACACATAAAAATAGAATAGTATGATACACTTCCATGTACCCGTCAACCAGCTCCAGTTTTATCAACGTTTTGCCAATCTTATTTCATCTATTAGCAGTTTTTTTTACGAGTATTTCAACGAAATAAGTCCCTGCTAGTGTCATTTGACTTGCAAAATCTATGATAGTTCCCCTGCATGCTCCCTTTTTTTCAGGTCATGAATTTTTCGGAGAAACACCGTTATTTGTAAAATGTCCACATCTAGATTAGACTTAATGTTTCATCTTGTAAGCTTATAATTAGAACTCTAGAGGTTTGATTAGAATCCAGTTCATTTTTCTAGATAAGAATACTTTATAGGTGGTACTACTGTATTCCTATTGTCTCAATCTTTTAGCAATGTTGAGACTGATTAGTGGGTTCCAGGATTAGCAAGCTGATTCATTCATCTATGAACAGTTCTGCAGTCAGATTTTCATATAATGCTTGTAGCATTCATTGTAATTATTGCTGAGATTTACTTCATTTGGAATTACAAAACAGTGATTTTCTAACTCTTATAATATCTTCTGCATTTATTAGTTAGAATTCTCCTATAAGGAACTATTTGGTTATCCTGAAATATACTCTTTATAGCAAAGAAAAGATAAATGCTTGATTTTTTTTTTCCCTTTACATATAATTTTTCAGTGTAATGAAATGATTCTTCAGCATCCTCCAGTAGCAAAGAGTATTTTGGTTTTTGTTTCGGTTTTTTTGGGTATCATTTTCAACTTGTGACTTTTTATTATTTTAATTTTTTTTTTTAATCTAGTGCAGTCCTCCTCACTGGTGCTCAAATTGCCCCCATTTGCTCAATTTTTATGCCAGAAGGAGCCACATCGGGTTGACTCCTGTGTCCTTTTGACATGGCTCTGGTAGTCTTGGATAGCTATACTACTTTCTATAATAAGATTTTTTTTCTCTTTTTTTTTTTTTAAAGATTTTATTTATTTATTTATTTGACAGAGAAGGACACAGCGAGAGAGGGAACACAAGCAGGGGGAGTGGGAGAGGGAGAAGCAGGCTTCCCGCCGAGCAGGGAGCCTGATACGGGGCTCGAACCCAGGACCCTGGGGTCACGACCTGAGCCGAAGGCAGACGCTTAACAACTGAACCACCCAGGCGCCCCTCTATAATAAGATTGCTCAGGCTTATTTGATACATTATTCTCTAATTTTGAAAACACATTTTTCCAAAGGGCTGTTTTCTTGTAGTGGAAAATGGTACTTAGGAACCCCAGTCTGGTTGTTAGCAGTACTCATTGCTCATGGGTTGAATTACTTTTGGACTTTTCTACTGGGTAGAGCTAGGATGTACTTTAGAAAAACAAGGTCATGGGTGTCAACAAATTTTAATTAATAATAAAATTAAAGATGTTTGGTTTTTGTAAGGTTGATCTCCTTTAGTTTATCTGCAACCCAAAACTAATGTTTGCATGAAAAGGAATGAAGTACTGATACATGCAACCTTCAAAATATGATGCTAAGTGAAAGGAGCCAGACACAAAAGGTCTCATGTGGTAGGATTCCATTTGTATAAAATATCCAGAATAGATAAATCCACAGAGACAGAAAGATTGGTGTTTGGCAGAGGCTGGGGGGTGGGAAAACTGTTTAAAGGGTATGGGATTTTATTTTGGGATGATGAGAATGTTTTGGAACTAGATAGCATTGGTGGTTGCACAACACATTAAATGTACACTGAATCGTATACTCTGAAATGGTTAATTTTATGTTATATGAATTTCACCTCAAAAAACCCCAATGTTTGTCTAATATCAAAAGCTTACTGGGCACCTGGGTGGCTTACTGGTTAAGCATCTGCCTTCGGTTCAGGTCATGATCTCAGGATTCTGGTATCGAGCCCCACATCAGGTTCTCTGCTCAGCAGCAAGTCTGCTTCTCCCTCTCCCTCTGAGATCTCTCTCACTCTCTTATAAATAAATAAATAAATAAAATCCTTTTTTTAAAAAAAAGCTTACTAAGTGTCTTGGTAATATTTCATGCATATGTTCAAGAAAGAGAGTTTTAGTCATTGACAATCCAAAATTTACCTCATTGCTATGAATTCTTCATTCAATCCTGCTCTCCTTTCTTCTCACCCCACCCCCAACCAATAGACAGTTATTAGAAAACTTTTAAAAAACTACATTCTCAGAAAGCACATTTTTCTACCTTTTATATTCAGTACACAGTGCTAGTGCTAGACTGCTAAGAAACTATTTTATCCCTCTAGTAAATGCTAAATGCTGTAAACTCTCTATAGCTAAAGAAATTTTGAGAGATCATTAAAAAGTTTATAAAGTGTTACTAAAACAGGGGCGCCTGGGTGGCTCAGTCGTTAAGCGTCTGCCTTCGGCTCAGGTCATGATCCCAGGGTCCTGGGATCGAGCCCCACATCGGGCTCCCTGCTCCACGGGAAGCCTGCTTCTCCCTCTCCCACTCCCTCTGCTTGTGTTCCCTCTCTCGCTGTGTCTGTCTCTGTCAAATAAATAAAATCTTAAAAAAAAAAAAGTGTTACTAAAACAAAGGGAAATAGCTTATGAGGAGCTCTCCTTAACATAGTCACAATTTTGAAAACTAAAGGGGGAAACAATGGGTTTGCTTTCTTGAGAAAATGTTTTTAAATAGCATTACATTTATTACTTATTTTTACATGTCAACTCATTATAGCACAGGGCTCCTGATGATCCACAAAGACTTGATCCATAAACTGAATCTTCTAAAAGATTTGTCTTTTTTTGTATCCTATTCACCCTTACTTAATCATGCCACCATGATTCTTAGGAAAAGCTAAAGTGTCCAGAGTCCTGGAAGAAAATTAGAATTTTAAAATACAGTCTTGATTAATCTCAGTTGCGATCTTAATAAAGATTTTTTTATATTTATACTCGAGATCGGAGTTACATTATTTCGTTTGATGCTAGTTGGGTTCATTCTTTTCACATTGTATTAGTTTGCTAGGGCTGCTGTAACAAAGTACCATGGACTGAATGATTTAAACAATAAAAATTGACTTTCTCATAATTCTGAAGGGTAGGAATTTGAGATCAAGGTATTGTTAGGGTTTCTTCTGAGGCCTCTCTCCTTGCCTTGATGGCTGTCTTCTCCCTGTGTTCTTCACCTTGTGTTCCCTCTGTGTGGCTATAACTTAACCTCCTGTTCTTTTTTTTTTTTAAGATTTTTTTTTTATTGATTTATTTGACAGAGAGAGATACCAGCGAGAGAGGGAACACAAGCAGGGGGAGTGGGAGAGGGAGAAGCAGGCTTCCCGCCAAGCAGGGAGCCCAATGCGGGGCTCCATCCCAGGACCCTGGGATCATGACCTGAGCCGAAGGCAGACACTTAACAACTGAGCCACCCAGGCGCCCTTAACCTCCTGTTCTTATAAGGATACCAGTCATATTAGATTAGGGTCCACTCTAATAATCCTGTTTTGTCTTAATTACCTCTTCAAAGACCCCATCCCATGGGTCATTAAGCAGCACCTATACTAAAACTGGAATGATACAGAGAAGATTAGCATGGCCCCTGTGCAAGGATGATACACAAATTTGAGAAGCATTCCATGGTTTTTAAAATGTTTCCTTAACAGAAAAAAAAGGCGGGGGGAGATCCTATCTCCAAATATGGTCACTTTTGGAAGTACTGAGAGTTAGGACTTCCCAACATAGGAATTCATTCAGCCTATAACAAACCTACTCCTTTTCTTTTACAGGTCAGTTTGCAGAGAACGAAACTAATGAAGTCAATTTTAGAGAGATTCCTTCACATGTGCTATCAAAAGTATGCATGTATTTTACCTACAAGGTTCGCTACACTAACAGCTCCACAGAGATTCCTGAATTCCCAATTGCACCTGAAATTGCACTGGAACTGCTGATGGCTGCGAACTTCCTAGATTGTTAAATAAAATAAATTATAATAAACTGTTAACTTTTTTCAGTATTTAATACCTGTAGTTGAGTTAGTAATTTTTTCATATATAGCATGTTGCCTGTGTGCAGTTGAACTTTAAAGTTCACTGCAAAGCAGATTATCTTCTGTTCTTTTGCATAGCAATCAGAGTTGAAATTTGTTTGCTACATCAACAAATTAAGGACATTTTCACAAATTGAGAAATAAACAAATATGCCAATTCGTAGGTGGTTTTGCCTTATCCTTTGGATGGGATTTTTAAAATTAGAGCAGTGGTGATATAGTAAATACTGAAATTTAAGCATAAATGAACACATTCTACAGGTAAATAATGGGGCTACGTATTTTTGTGTTTTCAGTGTTTTTTTTAAACCTATTCTGATCTTATAGCCGTTGTTAGCATTACTAGAGTTATGCAAATAATTGCATTATAAACATGTTTATAACTTAGCCAAAACATTGATTTTTATAACTGTCAAAGACATAAGAGGTGACATTTCTTATGTGTCTTTTGATAAACTGCAGTATTGTTTAAGTGTATCTTGTCTTTTTGTTTATTGCTACAATTTAAGAACTTTATTTAAAAGCAATTTTGGAAGATTACTAGGAATAGCTTTTGGAGCAATCACTTTTTGAACTATAGCCACATGGTCAACAAGTAAACTACATGACTGATTTCATGTGCATTCTGCATTTTGGCCAATCCAAAGTACTGTATTTCATTGACTATAAAGCTTCCTTCACAATATTCATTCTTCTTAAATAGTCCCTTGTTGTGACTGCACTTCTGATTATTTAAATATGTCTTAAAGGATTCATTATGGACTTTATTCAGCTCTTAAAAGCTAGACTTTTCTGAACTATTCCAGTCTTCCTCCAACCAACTGAAATGTTAAAAAATTTAAAAACGTGGAGTGATACAGTGCAAATCTTACAACGCACTTTGATGTAGTTTATGAATTATCTTCTATTAATTAAAATATGTCCCAATAAGTATGATACCCATAATCTGTGGGTCTTTTACTGAAATCAGACTTAATAAAGAGGTCATTCAGCTTTTATACTAAACAGACAAAAAATTTGAAAAACTATGACAGAGCACCTCTGCTTAGGCATGGGAAAAGGAGCACTGGAGTAGGGTTTATTATTATCTCTATCTTAGTAATAAAATAAAGCTGTCATTATAGGAGATACATAGTTAAGCCTTCAGCTTAGTTCTTTAAGACTGGTTTAATATGGGCCAGTTTTTCTGGAACCTGCCAAGAACATAAACAACCAAGATCTATAAAAATAATTTTTCCTCATAGAAGACCTAACATTGTACTTTCCAGCTTACTGAAAGCAATTAAATATGTTAATTGCATATATTTTAGTAACTTCTCAAGACATACTGGTACATATTTTAGTATAGAAGATTATCAAGTACAAGAATTATATTCTGCTACTTGCTGACAAATAATATCAAAAACCTAAATGATGATCTTAAAGGTCAAAGTGAGAACTAGAATAAAGTTCAACTTTGACCAGTTTTAGTAGGTTACTCTATGTGTTAGATCCAGAAGTAACCTTAAGTTTAAAATACTGAAATAGAACAAAGATTAGGAAAAACTGTGTATCTTGCGGCAAATGATACTTGCATGTTAATAAAGGCTCTTGACTGAAAGGTTTGATGAACACTTGGTGTTTGATCTTTTTAACTTTTTCTCTTTCTCCTGAGAATTCATGAAACTACTTGCTTCAGAACATCTTGCCATATGATTTAGTAGCAAGAATTTTTATTTGGTTAAATCAGATAATTTTATATAGCATTGAAAACAGTTTTCTGACACTTGGTAATTAGTTTACTTTCCAGATTATGGGCAGATCTGCCCAACTTCCTTTTTTCTGCACACAAACTGTTAGCACAAAATCTTGTTTTATTCAGTTAATATTTCATTTCTGTACTAAGATTATCTTATGCTTTTTAGATTGCTTATCTTTCATGCAATTATTGACAAATGACAGTCTCCTTACTTTTGAAGTCTTGTTGATAACTAAGAAATAAAATTTACCGTAAGCAGTAAATTCAGCTCATGTTAAAAGAGAAATAGATTTAGAGACATCTTGCTATGCATGGAATGGTCATCGTAGTGTGAGCCGTATTGCTAAATTTATCAATTCTTTTCAAAATATTTCAAATATTCTGAGAAATAATATAAAACTATTAAAGATTAAGGAGTGTTTAACCCTAGTAATTCCTATTTATATAATTTTCTATAAAGAAATTTCATACAACTTAAAGTTTGGATATATCCAGACTTAGCAGTGCTAAGTTGAGCTTTTGATTGGTTATCTCTAAGTTTGATAAGACATTTAAGATCTGGAAATCAGTAAATGCCACTGATTTTTTTTATATGTATGGTGTTTTATTTGCAATATATAAATATGTTTTAATTCCAGGCCAGTCATATTTGTGCCAAGATTTTACATTTCTATTAGGTTAAACTCTTAAGTATTGTACCTGATGATCTCTTGGTTTAAGCAAATATTTATTAACCTAGAAGTATTTTTGGTATGTTAGAGCACAAAACTGGGAGTTAAAGTCTGAAATCTTGTGTTAACTATCCATGTGATCTTGAACAAGTTACTGGACCTTAATTTTACATTTAGAAAATTAGGAGATTGCACATTAATAGGGTGATAATGTTTACCACTTAACTTTTTTAATGAACAAACAAGATTGTGTTTGTGGATGTTGCTTAAATCCAAGATCGCAAACATTACAGATGATAAGATTAGGATTATAAATGAGAGAAAATGGTTTTGTTGCTGCATCTCTTAAATAATACTCTAAATTTGTTTCGCTGCTTTTGATTAAGCATTAAATACCATACATCAGTACTACATATATTAAAAATTAGTTTAGAATTAGTTTAGAATCCTTGTAGTTGTTTTCTATTGCCTGCTACATAAAGAAAATTCAATTTTAGTTTTGGTTACCAATAATTGTTAATGTAAAGGGAACATTGGCTGTTTTCATGCCAGTATTATGTAATGCAAGTTCAACCCAGAACTCATTTTTCATTCATATCCTAAATTAGTAACTTATGCTGAAATAGATACATGTGTAAATTACTTATAAGAGTTACATGATTTTAGCTTTTACATTTAGGTCTTTGATTTTAAGTTAAATTTTGTATATGATGTGAGGTAATGATTCAACCTCATTCTCTCTTATGTGGGCATCCCAGTACCACTTGTTAAAAAGACTATTCTTCCCCCCCATTTAATGGTCTTGGCACCCTTGTTGAAAATTTTAAAGTTGCTTTGAGATAGAACTTACGTCTTAATCGTCAAATTGTTCTGTAAGTTTTGTGTTTGTTATTACTCTTATATAGGACCCAGGGGCATCAGAATTAGATTTTTTTCCCCTCTGTAGTACTAGATGCTTAGTCATTTTTAATATAAAAATATCTTGTAAGGTTTACCTAGATACAAGTTTATATGTTAAGGCCTTTATTTGTGATAAGATCTATTGCTTCATTATTAAGAGAAGCATGTATATGATGATAGCTTAGGATAAGAAAAATTCAAATTTCATGACTTTTTATTCAACCAGAATTGTCTAAAATTTTTTAATCAGCCTTTTACATCATGAAGTAAGGCTTGTGATTAATTCTGTCTCTGCATATCAACTGATCTAGTTCCACTGTTGGATTTTTTTGTAACACATCACTAGGATATTAACTAAGGCATGTTAAGTTTTGATGCAAATTTATCAAATATATTTTACTTTTGAGTCAGTGTAGTGTCATTTCTGTGAATCCCATCTCAAGTATAATTTTGAATTGGAAAGCACATTTTCTTCAGACTATTAAAGACAATTTTTGTCTTTCCATAATTTCATTCAGCCACTTTTGAAAATGCCTGTGTCTTTAGTTTCTTACAGCCATCATGTGGATCAATAAGTATGTTGCCTTTTGCTATTTGGTTTTTATTTTGATGAAGATCCAAGACAAAATTTATAGTTCAGGAAAGATCACAAGCTAATTTATGGTGAGATTCTAGATTCAGATTATAGTTCCAATTAGAACAAACATGGTGCTTAGATTCTAAAGATGATCTATGAATCCTACATCCAGAAAAGGAAGTGATATTTGTTTAGTATTGAAATAAACAATATACAGAATATTGAAATGGTAGAATTGAGATAGGGAGGTAATGGATGAGGTGTGCCTATGAAATAGTAAATGCTTAAGAAATATATAACGTTTCTATCTAAATGAACATTATCCTTCACTTAGTAGGGCCATTGTTCCTCAAAATGTTTCCAGATTTCAGAGTTTATAATAAATGTTCTTTTGAATAGCCTCATTAATGGGAGATGCTTTTCTTTAAATGTTTTGCAATAGCCAATAAATGTTTTTTATCGGGGCGCCTGGGTGGCTCAGTTGGTTAAGAGACTGCCTTCGGGGGCACCTGGGTGGCTCAGTCGTTAAGCGTCTGCCTTCGGCTCAGGTCATGATCCCAGGGTCCTGGGATCGAGTCCCACATCGGGCTCCCTGCTCAGCGGGAAGCCTGCTTCTCCCTCTCCCACTCCCCCTGCTTGTGTTCCTGCTCTCACTATCTCTCTCTCTGTCAAGTAAATAAATAAAATCTTTAAAAAAAAAAAAAAAAAGAGACTGCCTTCGGCTCAGGTCATGATCCTGGAGTCCCAGGATCGAGTCCCGCATTGGGCTCCCTGCTCGGCAGGGAGTCTGCTTGCTTCTCCCTCTGACCCTCCTCCCTCTCATGCTCTCTGTCTCTCATTCTCTCTCTCTCAAATAAATAAATAAAATCTTAAAAAAAAAAAAGATTAAAAAAATAAATCGTTTTTTATCTAAACCTACTGAATAAAGGTAAGTGGCCAGGCTGGTTCAGGAAGAAGGTATGTAACTAGAAGAATTAGAGAAGCTTTCTCATTAGCCAATAATCTGGTTCAGGTATCATGGCATGTCACAAAAACTATAAGAATGTAGCAGCATCAAAGTTGTAATTCAAATGGATTTTATAAAATTGCTCTCTTACAATGCAGCACATCTCCGTTACTTTGCTTAAAGTAGACAGGGTTTAAGCATTGTGCTTCCAACATTTTGTTGTTTTCCAACATCACATTGAAAGACATTTTTCCTGTTCTGGGCAAGAATAGGCTCTATCTGGTAAACACTGAAGTTACTCTGATGAAAACCTATTCCTAAAGAACTGAGC